CAAAATATAAAATACAAACTTACAAAACAAGGTATTGTGAATTCTTACAATGATGAGTTCATCTGCATCATTAATATCATCAATCCCATAAAACAATTTTTCTGTGCCCTTCGCCTGAATATTGATATCAGACATACAGATTAGAAAGCTTAGAAACGCTTAGAATTACAAGCCGAAGAACAGGAAGGAAGATGCTGGACAGTTTCTAAAATAACTCTGATTGAAGAAGGATTGATTGATGTACCTGCCAAAATTTCTTGTTTATGGTTCGGTACTTACAGCCAACAAGCTGTCCGTTTTGTCGATAAGTGAATGCAATTGCAGCCTGCAAGTGACCTTTAAACTAGTCACAAGTTGAAGCTACAAGGAAATGAGAGAGATGCGCTTGTGAGATCCCGCATCGGTTGGAGAGGAGAACGAAACATTTTTTACAAGAGTGTGGAGACCTCTCCCTACGTTTTAAAAAACCTTGAAGGGAAGCCCGAAAGGGAAAACCTAAAGAGGACAATATTTGCTAGCGGTGGGCTTGAGCTGTTACAAATAATATTAGAGCTAAACACTGGGCGATGTGTCAGTGAGGAGGCTAAGCCCCGAAGGAGGTGTGCACGAGGTGGTGTACCAGCAAGGACGTTGGGCCCCGAAAGGGGGTGGATTGGGGGGTCCCACATCGATTAGATAAGAGAACGAGTGCAGCGAGGACGCTGGGCCCCAAAGGGGGGTGGATTGTGAGATCCCACATCGATTGTGGAGAAGAACGAAACATTCTTTATATGGGTGTGGAAAGCTCTCCCTTGCAGACACGTTTTAAAAACCTTGAAGGGAAGCTCGAAAGAGAAAGTCCAAAGAGGATAATATCGGCTAGCGGTATTGCATCCACAAGGGTACGAGTCTAAAAATTCAATGAAAGGCATACAAACAAAAGCATTCTTTCAGGTACCTGACGATCGGCTGTTTGCATAACAACATTCCTTTTGAGAGTTTCCTGGGATATCATTCTCTTGCTGAAGTAAGTGATTAGCTGACAAAGAAACATCAAAACACTTGAACCTCAAATTCAAAGATAAATTCAACAGTTTGCATTAAGATCAAAAGTCTTCCTAGTCTTATTCATCGTAACATGTAGGACTACCTAGCAATCAAAATTAACCGTGTTTCTGTCAAAAGATTGCACAAGTTAACCATTCAAACAATACTAATGTATCAGTCCAAGCCCACTCCTAGCAGATATTGTTCATTTTAGCCCGTTATATATCACCATCAGCCTTACAATTTTAAAACATGTCTACTAGGGAAAGGTTTCTATACCCTTATAAGGAATACTTCGTTCTCCTCCTCCAATCGATGTGGGATCTCACAATCTACCCCCCTTGAGGCCCATCGTCCTCGCTAGCTGGCCTGGTGTCTAGCTCTGATACCATTTGTAACCACCCAATTCTACCACTAGCAAATATTGTCCTTTTTGGGCTATCCCTCCTAGGCTTTCCCCTCAAGGTTTTTAAATCGCATCTGGTAGGGAGAGGTTTCCACAACCTTATAAGCAATGCTTCGTTCTCCTCTCCAACAGATGTGAGATCTCACAATCCACCCCCCTTGGGGGCCCAGTGTCCTCACTGGCACACCACCTGGTGTCTGGCTCTAATACCATTTGTAACAGCCCAAGCCCACCGCTAGTAGACATTGTCCGTTTTAGCCCCTTACGTATCGCCATCAGCCTTACAGTTTTAAAACACGTCTACTAGGGAGAGATTTTCTCTCCAACCAATGTGGGGTCTCACAACTAACGTATTAGTCTTATACATAGAAATGCAAAGAAATTCGAAGTACCTCATCACCAAGAGGCTCCAAAATAAGACTCTTCTTTGCAGTTCCTCCAAACAACTTTGCAGTTCTGCTGAACTCATTAAACGCCAATCTTCCATCTGCAAATATCTAAACCAAACAATCATTTGGCTAAGAAATTCTCATGTGTTAATTGCTACATAAGAGATTGAACATATTAATATGACGTTACCCGGCCTGCCCAACCACACTCAGACTGGAAACACCTCCACATTGCAAAATCTCTGTTCCCAATAACAAAATGTAATTCATGAACAATTTACTGCCAATCAATCCTCACAAAATCAAGGGAAAAACAGTAATAATCACTTGCCCTGTTGGAATTACATGTAGAGATAAGCTCCTCTCCATTAAGCGCCCACCCTTGCACTGTTCAACCATCAAAACAAGAATATGGATTTGATTTTCATGTATAGAAACCACGAAAGGCATAGACGGGAGGAGCAGATAACCTTGGGACAGAGCAGGCAATAGTATTTTCCAGGAGTACATTGTTCATCACAGACTATTCCGATAAGATCCATTTTCTCCATTAGAACCTTCACTTTAGATTCGCCCATAACATTAACCCTAAAACCGTAAACAAAGAAAAAGAGTATTATAACAGGACCGAAACGATTAAGTACCTGGTGGTGGCGATGGCGACGGCGGAGTAGGAGAAAGAGCGCATGATAATCGGGTTGGGTAGAGTGGAAGAGAAGGGGAAGAGAAGGAGAAATTGTTAAGCGGATGAGAGAAAATGGCAGGGCGATGATTGAAGTTGAAATTGAAAGGGGTTTTCATTGGCATTTGAATCCGACGGATTTGGAGAACAATGGGGAGCAGAATCGAAGCTGCCATATCCGCTTTCTTTGATTTTTTTCTTTTTTAAACATAGTTTCAGATACTTTTAAAAGGAGGAATCGGTAAAAAAATATTAGGGTAAGAACAAACTTTTTTGTTTTTTCTCCTGCGCAAGTCCGGATTCACACAATCCCTTCCAATTTGCAGGACATGTAGCCGTTCTTCTATCCTTCAAAATTCTGCGAAAGGATCTGGTTTCCATGCTGATCGACTGTTCCTCGGTTCTGGAGTTGGGAGTTTCTGAAGAAATGGGAGGTCACGCAATGTTTCTGTATCCATGATTCGGAGTATGGTGGTATTGTCCAAACGATTCATAAGATGAACTTTGGAATCAAAAGGCTGGCTTGGTTCTCAGGATTGGATTGAGGGAAATTATGAGTTAATCTAACGGTTCGATAGTATATATTATCCATTTTGGCCTACTCCGTATCACTGTCAGCCTCAAGATCTTAATAAGAAAGGGTTTGTTCCCCTCTCCAACTAATGTACCTCACAATCCACCTCGCTGCTACGGTAGCTCTAATATCATTTGTAACAGTAGCCTACCCTTAGCAGATATTATCTTATTTGGGTTTTCCCTTCTGGGCTTTGTCCTATGTCGAACAGTGAGATCTCACATTAGTTGGAGAGGGGAACGAAACATTCTTTATAAGGACGTGAAAACTTCTCCCTATTAAACGCTTTTAAAAATCGTGAGGCTGACGGTGATACATAACGAGCCAAAGCAGACGATATTTGCTAGTGGTGGGCCTGGGTTGTTACAGATGGCATTAGAACCAGTCAACGGATAGTGCGACTGGTCGGAGTAGGGCTAGACCTTCTCCATAGTAGAGGCGCTTTAAAACCTGAGGGGAAGCGCAGAAGGGAAAGACCGAAGAGAACAATATATGCTAGGAGTGGGTTTGAGTTGTTACAATTAAGCCTTGTTAAGAGTGTGGGAAGATGTTTGGGAAATTTGTAGGAGATGACGAAACGATGAGCTTGAATGGGCATTGCAACAACTCAAGCCCACCATTAACAAATATTGTCTTCTTTAAGTTTTCCCCTTCGAGCTTTCCCTTAAAATGCATCTGTTAGGGACAAGATTTGTTCCCCTCTCAACCAATGTGGGACCTCACAATCCACCCCCTTCGAGGCCCAGCATCTTCGCTAGCACTCGTTCTCCTCACCATTTGATGGCGTCCTATTAGATTATACAAGGTATTCAGACCATATAGACATCCAGAATCGAAAGAGGATACGAAAACATGAAGTCTTTCGTCGACATTACTCAGTATGCTTCTTATTCTAGGATAATGCAATTTGTATATGGTTCTTCCTTAACGGCCTCTACATTCTTTCCTGAAACCTAAGGATTGTGTCCTAAGTTTGCAATAATATTTTCAATAACCTTTCTTAGAAAGGAGGCCGAATGGCCAACTCCCATGCACCGTGCTCGACAAGGCTGAAACCCAACTAGGCCTTGCCCGAGTTACAATGCGTCTCAAAAGGGTTGGCCTCTTGGCTCATCCAACGATTTGGGGTCTTACCTTAGTTTGAGTTCGATGAGATTTTGGGCACGAGTGCAAGAAGAAGCATACTAAAGAGCATAAAAAAGGTGAAACGGCAGATGCCACTCAATCTTTGAAAGTTCCGCCATGGTTTTTGACTTGTATCAAGTATCATCTTTCGATAGTCTATTACAAGCAAACATTATAAGTAACAAAGATGATCATTGGAAACGAAACGTAATGCCCAAAATAATCCTCAAGCTCACACGTCTAAGCTATTTGTAGAACATTTATTAAATGCAGCTGACTTGGCATCACACTGATACTTAACCTTCTCTTTTCTTTACATTAGAGGGCGTTTGTTAGATTCTTGATATATGTTACCCCATAAATTAAAGTATAAAATTCAATTTTATATTTAATAAATCAATTAATTATTATAAAACTTAATTAAAAATTTATGGATTATTAGATTTTTTAAAAAAAATTTGAAATGGGTATGAATTTTTGGACGTGTATTGTTTGTTTTGATCAGTTGTGATAGTCCTATGGATACCTTATGTTCTATTTATTCGTAGTGACAAATTTTTCGTTGCATAAACATTTTTCCAGTCTTATCACAGTCATGTCAAGATCACGATAATGCATGATTAAAAATATACGACCGCGACACTAAACACCAACGATAAAAATATTAGTAGTTTCTGTTCGGATCAATAAATCAAATCTCTCTTTTTGTGCTATTCCTGCTCGTAAAGCAGGAAAAAGACAAGAAAATGCAGGTTTCCAACCTGCTATGGATGCCACTTTGATTGAAATCTTCGTAATTATACCAAATGGTTCTTTCGAGAAGACAATTCAAGCTATAAACCTTTAAAATGAGATCGGATTTACATGAACCGAACCAACCCAATCCAAAGTGAAAGGATGGAGGCGCCAAAGCCAATTCATGTCTCTCTTCCATTCCCACCAAAAGTAACTAACAATACAAATTCACAGTAGAGAGAGAAAATCGTGGGTTCAGAAGTTGGGGGTTTCATGGAGATTAATTATAACTGTTTCCTTATTTATTCCAAATTCAAAAACATCCCTGTTCTTCTTTTCCTCTTCAATGGCGGCTCTCACTTTTTTCTCCAATTTTTACTCTGACCCTTCTTCAATCAATCCCCAATTCCCCTATTTCTCCCCCGAAATGTCGCCGGACCTCTTCTTTCTCCCTCCACCGCACCTCGATTACGTCCCTGCCATGCCCGATGACTCTGTTTTTATCCCGACTGTTGCTCCGTTCTTCGACGACGCTTCTCCGTTTCTTTTCTCCGACGTCTACCCGTATTTCTCCGCTGGATTCTTCCCTTTTGATGAATTTGAGTTTCATTACTCCAAACGCCAGAGGATCGTGCTGGAGCAGAGTTTTTGCTACGGTGGAGTTGGTGGTAACGTGGGTGGCGGAGGTGGCGGAGGTGGCTACTTTCCTTCGGGTTTGTTGGATGGGAGAGTGGATAATGTTGAAATGATGAACAATGGCAATTGCTCGAAGACGAAACAGTTGGTGTCGCCGAGTAACACCTTATCGGTGCAGACGATTGCGGCCCGGGAACGGCGGAGGAAGATTACGGCGAAGACGCAGGAGCTTGGAGAGCTGATTCCGGGCGGTGTCAAGATGAACACTGCTGAAATGCTTAATTCTGCTTTCAAATATGTCAAATTCTTGCAAGCCCAAGTTGCCATTTTACAACTTAAGCAAGAAACAGAGCATGAACTAGAAGAACAAGAAACAGAGGATCTGCAGATTCTTGAATCCGCCATGATTCAAGAGAAATTATACTCAGAAGAACAGTGTTTAGTTCCAAAAGGGTTTGTTCAAAATCTTGCTAATTTCCCGGAGATTCAATCCCATCCGTCCATTTCAAACTCCATCAATCAGATCCTTAAAACAAGCGGCTAGAAAGAACAGTTGAGAGTGATCAAATGCAGAAGTATCTTGTTCATCATTTTGTTTTGTTCTTTGTTGTTGTTATATAGAATCTAAGGCTTTAGAGTTTTCTTACCCATTTAGTTTAGTTTAATTTAGAGATTAGTTTCTCGATGAGATGCTAACCTCGTGATGATCATTATCTGTTCTTTGTTAAACTTTATCATTTGATTAAATGAAACCCCTTTTCATTTTCTTGCTTCGTTTGTATAAGCAACTGACTTGCGAAATTTTCTCGACTGCCAAATCATATGTTTATAAATAAGGAATACGTCTGTATTGGTATAAGGTCTATTGGAGAAGCCAAAAGCAAAATCATGAGAGCTTATGCTCAAAGTAGACAATGTCATACTATGGTGGAGCGTCGTGGTTCCTAACGTGATATCAGAGTCATGCCCTTAACTTAGCCATCAATAGAATCCTCAAATGTCAAATATAGAAGTTGTGAGCCTTGAAGATGTAGTCAAAGTGATTCAAATGTTGAATAAATTGTGTACTTTGTTCGAGGGCTGCAGAGAAAGGGGTCGAGTCTCGATTAAAGGGAGGTTGTTCGAGGGCTACATAGGCCTCAGGGGAGGCTCTATGGTGTGTACTTTGTTTGAGGATTGTTGGTAGGGTGTCCCACATTGGTTAATTAAGTGGATGATCATGGGTTTATAAGTAAGAAATTCGTCTTCATTGGTGTGAGACCTTTTGAAAAAGCCAAAAGCAAAACCACCAGAGTTTACGCCCAAAGGGGACAATATCATGGTGGAGTCGTGGTTCCTGACACCAAACACCTATTTTTCCATGCCATTTGCTTTGTTTCTCGAGAAAATATCAAACTTTCCCGAGAAAAAAAAAATCTCCAAATTTTCTCGGAAACCAAACACAGACAAAAGTAAAACATCTAGACAAAGATTATCACTTTCAACTGTTCTCTATTTTTCTCCAACATAACCGCCATAGCCTCCGAAAATGGCGGCTTCCACTTTCCACTTCATCACCAACCGTCAAAACCTACAAAGAACAGTTAAAAAAAAAAACACCAAACAATTTTATGTCTTTTCTCAAACTTCCTAAAAACTCAATCTTAATATCTCAGAATCATCAATGGCGACCATGTCTGCGAATTTCATCTTGTTCCTCTTAACAATGGCGGCTTGTTCTTCTGTTATTTTCTCTGCTTCTGTCATTGAAGATCTTAACACCTTACACCCACCTTCGGATTTCAACTCTACAATCTCCAAAAACTGTCTTTTAAACCCTTCTCTTCGTTACTGCTCTACTTCTCCAATGAATCTCATTGAAATCTTCAAGTCCTCCATTGTTGCTAGCCATCTTTGCAACGATTCCCGCAACCCCAATTGTGTTGAGTCGTTTCCGAAAATTGATCTTCGTAGTCGACCCAATATTGCTCCGTTGTATTTGTCGTTTCATTTCTTTTGGAAGTACTGTCCTCTGAGTATCCTCTCCATTGATCTGTCTAACAATTCTTTGAAGGGTAGTTTCCCTATTGATGTTTTGGAATGTAAACAAATAGAGGCTCTTGATCTTAGTCGAAATGATCTCGTTGGCGAAGTCCCGTTTCGGATTTTCTCTGATCTTACTAACCTGACTACTCTAAATCTGTCTTACAATCAATTCTCTGAAAGTAGGATCTCTGATTCAGAGTTGTTCTTTAAACGGTTTAATTCGTCGAGTTTTATAAGTTCGGGTCTTCTTCCGGATCATAGGAAGTATAGAATGAAGGTTGTGATTCTGTTGATTGTGTTTCCCATTCTTGTGATTGTGTTAGTGTGGTTCTTGGGGTGGCTTTGCTTCCACAGGCCTGATTTCTTGCCAAGGATGTTGAGGAGGAAGCACAAGTTCACGCCGGCGATGCTCAGGGCAGCAACCGACGGATTTTCGGAGAAGAATTTGATAGTGAAGTGTGAGGGAGTTGATATTTACAGTGGAGTTCTAAGAGGTGGGACTGAAGTGAGGATTGAAATCTACAAGAATGGGAATTCAAGGGAGAGTAGGGATGAGTTTATTGAAGAATGCAAGATCTTTACCCAATTGTCCCATAAAAACTTGGTGAAAGTGCTCGGTTGGTGTCACAACCGACGAATGAGAGCCCTCGTGATCGAGGCATCTGAGGGAGAGAGTGTCGACATGTGGCTGTCGAGGTCGCGTCCACCATGGAAACAGAGACTGAAAGTAGCCAAAGGAGTGTTAGAAGGTATGGTTTATTTGCAGGAACAATGGCCTGCTGTTGATTATGATCTCAGGACAGAAAGCCTCTTGTTGTCCAGAAAGCTAGTGCCATTGATTTCAAGGTTCAAATTGGGTCATCAAAATTGCAGCTCAAGAAGTAAGTCAATCTAAACGAAACTCTACACATGGTCTTAAATACTACAATCGAATCATTCGAAAAGATTAATAGTACTGAACTCCCGAAATCACTAAACAATTATCCGAGTACGTTTTTCACGAAATCTAGCATTCATGTAACTAAGGAAACTAACATGATAATTGATGTACCAGATATCTACAAGTTCGGTGTGCTCTGGTTTGAAATGATAGTGAATAGGCAGCTACGGGACGAGATCAAGCGAGATGAATCTAGTTTCATTAGAAACATAAAAACACAAATTTCCAAGAATTTGCAGGCAGTGATCAATGAATGTATAGAACTACAGAGAGAAAGCATGGTGAATCAAGCAAAAACAGCAATGAACCTGGCATTGATGTGTACAGATCAATCACATGGACATCAGCCAAATTTGAAATACATATATGACACTGTAACTAGATTATCAAGTAATCAAAAGATGCAGGAAACTGAGAAAATTAGGCATGAGAGGATTCTATCAAGAAAATAAGAAGGTATATTTATGTTGTCAATAACTACAAAGAACTCTGAAATCTATTCAAGTGGTTCTTGCCTCGTTTTCGATATTCAAGTCGTTTCGTATTTGTTAAACGTATTACATAATCATGCAATCATAGCAGATCAGATCACCAGAACTTTATGTAAAAATGTAAAACTAGAGAGAAGTTCATGTTACCAAGGAATTTCCTGACCATCCCAAGCAAAAAACTTTCCATTGTCTTGGCTCTTTGCATTGTTGATGATTGTCATAAGCTTTTGGACTGAAAAATTTTTGGTAAAAAGTTTGCCTTCAGGAACATTTCTCTGAAATGGCCTAGACAGGTCTGTGTCCACTGTGCCTGGATGCAATAATATGCATATGATTGGATCTTTCTTCCTTGCGAATTCAACCGATACGTTTTTTGTCACTGTGAAAGCAAAAAGAGAATAGATTTCATATAACTATACGACGTCGAAATGCATAATGTTTAGTCCCTGTGTCTATTATGCATACAAATAACTAACAAGTTTAAAAAATATATAATATGGTTTTACCAATATTTGTTGAATATGATTTCGAATGTCTGCAACGAATGTGTATGTGTGTCGGTATTGTAGATGACTCGTTTTGCTCGATTGAAGAGCATGGATGCATGTTATCATGCAGAAAAGTAATATAAGCAAGAAAGGCGAAATATCTCTCAAACTCAAGTTAGCCCAAGGTGGATGGGAAAGGAATATGCATATAATCTGAAAAGGCCACAAGAAACTATACATTGGTTAAGTGCGGTCTTTGATGCTCGATAAGAGTGCCATCCCCCAAGACGATTATCTCCGATTGATCCCACCCGAGCACTTAAATTGGCAACGACTGCAATATCTCTTTCTGTTCCAGAGCCTCCTCCAGCCTTCAGAAAAGGCCACAAATGCTGCTCATATAAACCATAATCTACAGCAGTCAGTGTGCTAAATGTTGAAAAATCCACCAAGAATTTAAATGACTGACAGAAAACATATACTTGAGTTCAGAAAAAAAGAAATTCAATTGGTGGTTTATTTTGGTTGTCCCGTAACAACCCAAGCCCACTGCTAGCAAATATTGTCCTCTTTGAGGTTTCCCTTTCGGGCTTCCTCTCAAGGTTTTTAAAACGCGTCAGCTAGGGAGAGGTTTCCACACCCTTATAAAAAATGTTTCGTTCTCCTCTCCAACCGATGTGGGATCTCACAATCCACCCCCCTTCAGGGCTAGCGTCCTTGCTGGCACTCGTTCCCTTCTCCAATCAATGTGGGACCCCCCAATCCACCCCCTTCGGGACCCAGCGTCCTTGTTGGCACATTCTCCGGTGTTTGGCTCTGATACCATTTGTAACAACTCAAACCCACCGCTAGCAAATATTGTCCTCTTTGGGCTTATCCTTTCTGGCTTCCCCTCAAGGTTTTTAAAACACATCAGCTAGGGAGAGGTTTCCACACCCTTATAAAGAATGCTTCGTTCTCCTCTCCAACTAATGTGGGATCTCACACCTTCAGACTAAACCGCGTTAGTATTTAGTTAAAGGAATAAATGCTCTTTCCTTTCCCAAAAGGAAATAAGAGACGGCTAGTCTGAAATGCAATAACTATCTCGGAATTATTTCAGCTATATGTGCATCTTCAGGGATGTAGTTTCAACTGAATAAAAAGAAAACAAGTTTTTAAGGATTCAGAATGGTATTTGAGCGAGTTTTACCTTGATCACTAGGATAGGACCAACAGCATTAACCTCATAAGCATGAAGCAAAGAAGATTTCTCCACTTTATTCAAGGTAGTTTCTGCATTGGGACCAGAGCATGATCAATTGCTTAGATCATGACTTCTAAGTTTCATGAACAAAAAAGAAAAAAAGAAAATTATTGACTACAATTATCAATTCTGTTACATAAATTAGGAACATATCTCCATTTTAGGTCGAGATCTAGCTTAAACTCAAATATATTTATCTGAACTAAAATGAGACCTTGATTTCACCAACAAAATGTCGGCTACCATGTTGCGTGAAAACCCAACGGCACGCTGAGGACTGTTACCGTTATGCTGTTCAACCAACCAATGGATTTTTAATTCTCAGAAGAAATACCTGGTTGGAGTACATTAGGAATTGAAAGAATCCCAGATGCATTAATTAGCAGATTCAACGATCCATATCTTTCTCCAATGGACTTTGCAGATTCCTGAAGTGCATTGTGACATTGGATGACAGACAAATATTAGAAAGTTTTACATGAAATTCATGAGTTAACAAAAATACTTAATCAAAACCAAGTAGATTTCTAAACATAGAAATTTTTATCGTATACTGCACAACCACCTAATTCAAGGCTTCAAACTTTTAGCCATCTGAAAGAACCCAGAGTATATATTTCAATACCAGTTTATCCAAAACTATCTCGGTAACAACCCAAGCCCACCGCTAGCAGATATTGTCCTCTTTGAGCTTCCCCTCAAGATTTTTAATATGTGTATGCTAGAGAGAGATTTTCACACCCTTCTAAAAGGTATTTTGTTCTCCTCAACCGATGTGGGATCTCACAATCCACTCCCCCCTTGGGGTCAGCGTTCTGTCTGGGACTCATTCTCTTCTCCAATCGATATGGGACCTCCCAATCCACCCCCGTTCAGGACCTAGCGTCCTTGCTAGTACACCGCCTCTTGTCCACCCCCTTCGAGGCTCAACCTCCTCGCTGGCACATCGCCCAGTGTCTGGCTCTGATACCATTTGTAACAGCCCAAACCCACCGCTAGTAGATATTGTCCTCCTTTCGCTTTCGCTTTCGTGCTTCCCCTCAAAGTTTTTAAAACACGTCTGCTAGTGAGAGGTTTCCACACCCTTATAAAGGGTATTTCGTTCTCCTCCCCCATCAATGTGGGATCTCACAATCTCCATATACCCAACAAAATTACATATAAAAATATAGCAACCAATGCGATGATTTCCAGATAAAGATAAAAACCATGTTAAATTAAAAGAGTGAAACCTTAATGGTGCTTTCATTGGTCACATCCAACTCTAGAATGCAAAGGCGCTCAGAAAACTTGTCTTTTAACTCAAGAAGCCCTGTAGCTTTTCCAGGGTTGCGACAAGTAGCAACAACATGTCCCTTTTCATTCTTCTCCAGCAAATGTCTAACCTACACCAATACAAGTTTAAAATCAATTTTTATTTGTTAAGCTGCAGCCAAAGTAAGTAATGAGTCGGAGCAATTTGGGTCAATAACTCACATCCCTTTCAGATTCACAAACATGAACAGCAAAAACTGATAATACTCAGAAAATCAAATCAAACAATTCATAACAGTCCACACCACAAAAACAGAGAAATAGGAATGAAGAACTTGAAAGATTTCATTGAATTCAAATGAACCTTTGATCAACTTCAACTGAATCCTCCGCGAATAGCGAGAGAAACAAGTAATTGAACCGGAATAGAAATTGTTAGGGAAAAGAAAAAACAGAAGAACTCACAAATTCGAGGCCAATTCCTCTGGAAGCTCCTTGAACCATAGAAACTCCGCCTTCCCATTTGGCAGCAAGAGAGGAAAAACTAGCTCTCCGAGCCAACGATCTGAGGGTTCCAGCGGCGAACATTGGCTGATTCAGAAGTTGAAGCTTCATATCCTGATTGGTTTTCGAAGCGATGAGTGTTGAATGCCACAGGCATCCATTATGGAGCTTCTTTGAAATTAGTTGGAGCCTCTTCTAGGCAGTAAATGCAGCAGAAATGGCATCCAGAGCTCCATGGCCGAACTCTTGCAAGAATTGTGGCTGCCGTAGCGCCACATCTGCGGAATCTGTACAACGCACTCTTTCGTTAATTAGAAGCCTCCTTGGAAGTTAACCGATGAATGCGTGGTTTCGGATAGAGATTTCAATTCAAGCGCCAGGCTAATGGACCTATCATCATGGGTCGACCGGAAGGGCTCGGCTGCTGGTTGGGTTAGCTTTTGGTAATTATGCCGCACTTGTTCTAACCCAACAAACAAATCCATAAAATAAAAAAAATATTAAACGATGCCCCGTGATTTAAACTAAGAGCTACAAAATAAATAAAATGCAACTATCCTAAAACAAGTTTCATGGTCTTCAACACGACGTAGCTGTCATCTGTGTAGGGTGTCTTGCCTTTACTTCAAATATAAGAATAGCACAAGCCTTGAATATTTTAAGAAATAGTCAGTAACACGTACAAACTGATGAGACCTATCATTTAAAACCATCTTCTATTATGCGGCTTTTCAGTCTGGACAATTGGATGTATAATACTTCTCTACACACGACCCACACGTGTGAGCATAGGTCCACTAGGCGTGTTCACACACCCCTGGGTCTACTGATCAAGCTAGCACTCTCTGAGCTATTGCTCGACACTCGAAGGGAATAGTGACTATTGTAGCATCATGGTAAACATGATGGTCATTTCAGCCTCATAGCATACGCGTTCGTACTCGTCATAAAAGAGAAATATCCCAATGCACGTGAACATACAATTATGCATGAGGTTCCTATATTTTTCATCGTAGCGTAATAAATCATGCAAGACAACTTCCATTCTTTCATCACATATTACACTCGATAATATGCATACATAAACTCTTATAAAATCGTTCCATTCATAACATAACTTTCAAATCATGGCATAGGAGTTGTGCATCATAGTTATTTCAAAACATATCATAGCATGTCATGGCCTAATATAACATATCATAGTAGATCATGACATCTCATAACATAGTATAACTTTTGGTAACATAACATGACATTTCATTTATACGATAATATTATTTGACATATCGTATAGCGACACATGACATAATATCACATGTTAAAACATATCACACATATGATAGGTGCAAGGTCACTAGGCACGGGTTATTATACATAATGTAATTCTTCCAACCAAGCCTATAGTAGACTCATTTACTTGGTTGGCTTTAAGCCGAAGCTACTATGATCTCTTGATGCTAGCTTAATGCTCGTCTCTAAAATTTAATCCTACCTAAGAAGTTCCACAATCATAAATTAAAATTCTACTACCGAAATTGACTTATCTAATTTTGCTTAAAATAATTTAAATTAGCTAAAAGGTAGTCATACTAACTTTAAACGCTTTCGAAGAATTGAAACTAGTAGAAAAGGGTCCGATTATATCAAACCCAAGTTGGATCAGCTGAAATGCCAACCTGGAGCAGTTAGAAAATATATTCTCCGACTGGCTTTGAGCTGCCTTAATGAGATGAAAAGGAGAAATTGTTGTAACTTAGTAAGTAAAGGAACCCCTTTCTCAACCTAGATGTAGGACAACATTTTTTTTTTCTTTTTAAATTTTGGGTTATTACAATATAACCTATAGAGGAAGAATTAACAATTAGTCGCATCCCCTTCAGTACATTTTAGAGCATTTTAACCCTAGTGAAGGTAAACATGATTTTGGTGACCGATCATATGGACACAACAAGAAATAGTAAAAGCCTATCTAAGATGAAAATAACTAAAAGAGATTTAAAACGGGCATGCAACTATGGACAACATGTCCTAGACAAGCATGACCGAGACATCCAGCATGTGGCTATAGACAACACGCCTTGGACAAACATGACAGTAACACAAATCACAACGTCTTGAGTCTACGAGTAGAAACTAGAAAACTTGGATGAGTGTGTGCTTTTAACATTGAGACACCGTCGGACAGAGAACATAGCATCGACTTAAATTTTCTTACAAATTCAACAAATATATATTTTAAAATATTCAATTAAACGATAATAAAACTTCACATAGTTTGCTATCAAATTCAATAGGTATAATTAGATAAGTGTCGATGTCAATCAAAAGCATCTCAATTATTTAAGACATTACATTCAGGATATAACGACCCATGTCGTTATCTTCAACATAGTCATATTACTTACAACTCGCTTCTAAAAGTAAAAACTATCCTCACAGACCAACACAACACAAGTTGTCGGGTCATCCAACACAAAATTGCTCCTAGCAAAACACATTTAACCATGAAATTCTTACAATTAATGGATCCTGATCTCAACTCATTTATGTATCCCTCTTTTATTCCGATATAAAAAATAATAATAATGTCATTTTTCGAGGAAAAAAAGAAAAAAAAAAGTTTAAAATAATTAATGAGCTATGAGTTGGCTGTTTCTCTCTCTACACATAAATTAAATAAAATTAATTAGTTAAAATAAAATAATAAAATAAGTAATGAAATTGGGGTGGCTGCTTCACATGGCAGGACACTTGGTGTACTAACACACAACAGTTACCCTACGATGGACCCTCTTTGTGATGGTCACATCCCAACCACTATTTTTTTTTTCCCTCTACAATTTTTAATATTTATCTTGTTTTTTTATTAAAAAAAAAAGTTAAATCATTAACGATACGTACCCAGAATTCAGATCAAGATTCAAAATCGGAATTCAACACCTGATGGTCCCGACATTCTCTTGCATCTCCGTTACTTATGTTACTTACTTCTCATTTGTAAGAATGAAAAGTATCGCTACAGATCAACACGTGATTCTAAGAGTAAAGACTATCTTTATAGACCAACACATGAATCCATCCAATAGTGGTGGACTTATTGTGAGACTCCACATCGATCGAAGAGATGAACAAGTGTCAGCGAGTACACTGACATTGGGCGGTGTGACAGTGAAGACACTGGGCCCTGAAGGGAGGTGGATTGTGAGATGCTAAATCGATTCGAGAGAGGAACGAGTGTCAGCAAGTACACTGAGCTCCGAAAAGGGGATGGATTGTGAGATCCTACATCGATTGGAGAGAGAAACGACGCTAGGCTCCAAATGAGGCAAATTGTGAGATCCAACATCAATTGGAGAGGGGAACAAAACATTATTTCTAAGGGTGTGAAAACATAGTAAACACGTTTGGGGGAAACTCGGAACGAAAAACCCAAAAAATACAATATCTGTTAGAGGTGGACTTGGACTGTTACGTACCAAGGTCATTTCAACATAGAGCTGCTCTTGACTCGTAATTTAATGATTGAGTCACTCAAAAGAAAAGTACACGTCATTGGTACACGCAGTCAAATCAAATAAAAATAATAAATAAATAAATAAAAAAACAGCGAAACAGAAATTATGACAAAAAATATGTACATGTCACAACCAAACCTATACAAATTAAAACAGTATTTCCCCCACAATATGAAAATGTTTGGAAAAAATAAAAGAATTATATAATTGGTCACAAAATATTTGATACTGCCCCAAACACTGCCCTACAGAGGGGGGATAGTGTGTTGCTCAAGAAGAGAATCCCAGTTTTATTTTGTTTTCCTCTGCCCTTCTCATGTCCCAACATGGGGCAGCTCTTTTGTCCTTACCCAAATAAATCCCCATTTCAGTTATATTATTATAACCTCCATTTTTTTTTAATTCAAAAACTATATATTATAAACTTTAGGGTTTATTATTTTTATTATTTTTGTATAACATATTGCTAAAGGACCACATCAGAATCCTTGCTGTCTCACTATTAAATTAAAAATCCTCAAAACCTAGACTTACATAATTTTCAAAAATATAATTATTTAATTCTTCTACTTTTATTTATTTCCTCGACTTATTAATAAATAAAAAATTACTCGTCCCTAATTAGTTTTTCTTAACCCAGTCCAACTTAATCTTGCATGACAAACACTGGTTTGAAAACTCAGCCATGCTAACGGTAAGAGTTCAAGCTGACTACTATATTGTCTTCTTTGAACTTTCCATTTCGGGTTTCCACTCAAGCTTTTTAAGACGCGTCTGCTAGAGGTTTCCACACCCTTATAAACAATTTTCTGTTCTACTCACAATACATCCCTTTCGGGTCCAAACGTCCTTCACTAGTACACCGTTTGGTGTCCAGCCCCTTTCAAGGCTCAGCGTTCTCGCTAACACACTGCCTAATGTCTAGCTCTGATATCATTTATAACAACTCAAGTCTACTGCTAGCAGATATTGTCCTTTTTAGGCTTTTTCTTTCGGGCTTCCTCTCAAAGTTTTTAAAATCATCCACTAAGGAGAGGTTTTCACACCCTTATAAACAATTTTTTGTTCCCTCATAATCCACCCTCATTTGGGGCCTAACATCCTCATTAGTATTCATCCCCCTCTAATCAATATCGAATCTCACAATCCACCCTCTTTCGTAGTCAAACGTACTCACTAGTACACTGTCTGGTGTCCACCCCCATTCGGGGCTCAGCGTTCTCGCTGGTACACTGTCGAATGTCTAGCTCTTATACATTTATAACAACTCAAGTCCACCATTAGCAGATATTATCCTCTTTAGTCTTTTCCTTTTGGGCTTCCTCTCAAAATTTTTAAAATCATCTGATAAGGAGAGGTTTTAACACCCTTATAAAGAATGTTTTGTTCTCCTCTCCAACCGATGTCAAATCTCACACCGACCTTACACTTCAACACAAAAGATTCAAAAACTTAGGAATCCCACCCATTAACCCTAATAAATTTCGAACAAGTGTTTCGAGTTCCCCTAACGTTCTTCTCGTCATCATTAAGTTGATGAGATAGAATGAATGACCTTTTTAACTTATATAGAACATCACATCTCATTCATTTCTTCTCCTACAATGAATACAATTGGACCATGATGACATTCCACCACCCTCCACAACACATATTTGATACCTTTTTCCTTTTTTTTTTTTTTTTTTTTACTGTACGGTTAAAATAAACAATGGGAAGCTGAAAACCCAACAAAGAAACGTAAGATTATAATCCATCAACGACCACTTTTTGTTGCATTGGGATTGTCATGTCAATGTTGAAAAACTTACCTTCTTGTTGAGGGTAAAAAGTGAAAAAAAACAAAGAAGAGAAGAAGATAAAAGTGGAGTTACTAGGGTTAGGGCATGAGATAACAAATAGAATAAGACCATGATTGGTGTGGTAAAAAGTAAAAAATATATATAGAATTGGAAGAAAGTGACTGATGAGAGAGAGAGAGAGAGAGAGATGACGGTAGATTCTAAAAACGTCTCGTCAAAGCCTTAGAGATTGGTGATTCTCTTCATAATTATTGCTCCACTTCAAAACTTCCAAATCTATAGATTACTTCCAAAAAAAAAAAAAAAAAAAAAAAAATTATTAGAGGTCAAAAGAATTTGAAGGGTTATATTTAATCGGTTTTTAGGGTACCCACAACAGAGGGTGACGCCCGAGTAAAGAAGAGATACACCATTAAAGTAAAAAGTTTCAATTTTACTAAATGATTTAGTTTTGGACGAGATTCCCCTCTCCAACTAACGTGGGATCTCACAATCTACTCTCTTCAGAACTCAGCATCTTTGTTAGCACTCGTTCTTCTCTCTAATCAACGTAGGACCTCACAATCCATCTCCTTTCAAGATCCAACGTCGTTGTCAGCACACCATTTGGTGTCCACCCCCTTCGGGGCTCAACATCATCGCTAGCATAGAGAGAGCACACCATCTGGTGTCCACCCCTATTTAATTTCTATAATTATTGCTCCACTTCAATACTTTCCAATCTAACAAGTACTTCAAAAAAAAAAATTATTTGAGGTAAAAAAAATTGAATATTTACATTTAATCGGTTTCTAGGGTACCCACAAAGAGGGTGACGTTGAGTGAACAAGAGATATATAAATGAACTTCAACTACATTTGAATGAAAGTGATTATAAAAATATAAAATTACTACATATATATATATATATATACAATATGCACCTTTTTTTTTTTCGGTAGCCAAATCATCGGAATTTTACACTGTAACAGTAAAAAGTTTCAATTTATACGGAATAATTAAGTTTCGAATTTCTATCTAGCTCTAAACGAGATTTACGAGACAATAACTTAGATCTTTTGTTACATTACTTCGAGTTGAAAGTTAAAGCTGTTTTCGTACGATCTAATTAACTTTAGGGTAGGGTTAGATGATGTTCGTGCATGGGTCGAGAAAAAGAAAGCATTTATAAGAATATTACAAGCATGATGTTGATTGTTAATTATACCCTAAAGACTAAATGAAACCTTTGGAACACCATTTTCCACACATTATTTGCTAACTTTTGGGTTTCTATATTGATCATGAAAAGTGGAGAAAAAAAGGGTTTTTATAAATTTCAACCCCACAATTGAATTATTACACTATACCCACCAATCTCTCTATTAGAAAAGTCAACTCATGTTGACTTTCAAAAGACGAGTGGAAGTCCCTCGAACAACCTAAAAATAATATTGTTGAAGTATCAGCTTAATGATATCGACGTGGCTCGTTCTACTGTTGTAAGTTGATTTTAGCGGTATCAGATGCAACGTTACTAAAAGTTTTAATAATAACGACGTTGTACACCGAGTGAAAGCTAATAATTATGTCAAATTTAAAAAAAAAATTAATTTTTTTCTTTCCTTTTTGGAACTCAAAAAATCATTTAGTTAATTAGTCAACGAAGTCAAGATTTAAATTTTTAAATTTTGTGCTAATTTTAATAATGGGAAAGAAGGGGCTTTTGCACATGGTTCCTTGCACTATTGCCAAGGAAAACACAAGACTTTGAGTGTCCTCATTTTAAAGAAATTTAAATAATATTTATTACCTATTTATCTCGGAATATTCATATGACCTAATAATCCGATTAGTTTAAACTACCCGATAAAAGCTGAGTTGAGTTGAATTTTTTTTTCAATTCGAATTTAGTCGAAATTCTGGAACACTAAAAAATTTGGGTTAATTTTCAGGTTGACATTTTTTTGATCGGGTCAATCCAATCAAACCGAAAATAGGGTTACAATCCAACCTAACCCTACTCTATTTTTAAGATTACGGTGAAATTAAGAATATTTTACGTTTATTACAGTGACGAGGTGTGAATTATAAATATTTGATATTTAAATTTTATGAGATTTTAGCTATTAATGTAATATGTACGGTGGATAAGTAAATTTTTTTAGATAATTAAAAAAAAAAAACTCAATAATCAGACCCAAACCAACTTGAAAATAGGGAGGGTATATAACTAGTCACCAAAATCATGTCTATACTCAGACTAAAATGCCCAAAAATGTACTGTAGGAGATATAATTAGTTGTCATGTCTACACTCGACAGGCTAAAATGCCCCAAAATGTACGGTAGGGGATATGATTAGTTGTCATTTCTTCCTACCCGGGTTATATGCTATCAAAACCATTGTTGTTGCCTACTCGCTTTTAGCTCATAACATTGTTTTCGTTTTCAACGTATTTCCTCACTCACGTTTTTTAAAACATTTCTCTCAAACGTCACTCAAGGTTCGAGCATACGCTGATATTTTGTACGAAATCTGAATTTCCCACGACAGAGTTGTTCGCTGAGTTACAATCATTTGTTAAATTGTGGATTTTCTTTAATTTATTGGAAAATAACGTGTGTTTAGTTTACAAAGGAAGAGACGTAGTACGTACGTATGTATGTACAATTATTTAATAAATGGCCGCTTATATATATACATATTCCAATAAATAATTAAAATTTATTATATTCTAAGCTTATTATTAATAATATGAAAAATTGAAGGCATCAATAAATGAGATTTCGGTCGAATTCTTGCAAGCACATGTGCCCGAGATTTTCGACTAATTATTTTAATTATTTTTTAATTTTTTTTTCTGCGGTTGAAATTCATTTTCGTAATTAATTAATCAATATATATTTATTACACACGTGGAATTTGTTTTCTGGTAACAGAATGTCTTGATTGCTTTGTTAATCCTTCATTTTTCGTGCTTAATTTTACCTAATTATCTTTAATTATAATGATTTATTATTCCTAACATTCCTTATTTATGATGTCATTAATTAATTACCAGAAAACAAAAGTAAGATTAATATCTTTAAATTTTTAGAAAAATTAAAAAAAATTCAAAAACTTAATTTTTTTAAAATATTTAAAAAATATCCTTGCTATTAATATATAGACGAAACTTTTAGTACACGTGACTGATAAAAGTAAGATTAATATCTTTAAATTTTTAGAAAAAAATTAAAAAGTTTGGAGATAATTTCTAAGATGAAAATGGACGTTTTTAGTTCATATATTAACCGTAAAAAAAAAAAATAATAATAATAAAAGAATTTTTAAAATTTTATTCTAAAATTCAAGAATATTAATGAATTTTTTTTTTTAAAATTTAAGGATATTTTTACAAATTAAAGAATATATTTTGTTAATTATGCGAATTTTAATTAATTTAACATTAATTTTAGTAATTATTTTTATAAATTTTTTTAACAAAATGTTGTAATTTATTTTAATAAATAAATAAATAAATAATAATAATAGAAGGGAATCTTAAAATTTAAGGGTATTTTTAAAAATTAAAGAATATATTTGGTTAATTAGGTGTATTTTAATCAATTTAACCTCAATTTTAGAAATTATTTTTATACATTTTTTAACAAAATGTTGTAATTTATTTTAATAAATAAATAATAATAATAGAAGGGAATCTTAAAATTTAAGGGTATTTTTAAAAATTAAAGAATATATTTTGTTAATTATGTGTATTTTAATTAATTTAACATTAATTTTAGTAATTGTTTTTATAAATTTTTGAAGAAAATGTTGTAATTTATTTTAATAAATAAATAAAAAAAACAATAATAATAATAATAATAATAATAATAATAATAATAATAATTGAAGGGAATCGAAGCGTTCTCCGAAAAATGCGGCTACTTGCCGCCTTCTTTACTCTCCCATCACTTGTTTTCCAAAAATGACTTTTCCTCCGGTCTTTATTTATTTATTTATTTAAAAAAAATCAATTTATTTAATAAAATAAAATAAAACAAAACAAAAAATAAAAAACTCTCTAATTCCTAAATAAACCCCAAAACTCCTCTAAATTTCACAAATAACCCCCAAAACTTCTTTAATTAATAAATTAGACTCTTCACACATATCACTACAACCCCTCCACTTCTAATTTATTATTTCTCTCTCTCTCTCTCTCTCTCTCTCTCTCTCATCGTTTCTCTCTCCTCATGTTGCGTATAGAAGAGAACTGATTTTTTAGAGAGAGAAAGTCAGCGTTCTATTTCTCTCTCTTAAAAATTCAATTTTTCATTAACAAAAAAAAACCCACTTCCAATCTCTCTCTCTCTCTCTCTCTCTCTAATCTCGCCGGCGACAAAAATTCTGCATGTTTTCCGATTGGTCTCCGGTGAAGACAGACAGCAACAAACTATGTTCTGCAATTTGTTTGAGATGGACAATGATAACTATCAGCAAGCGGGGGATTTGACCGATGTAATTCGAGCTAGTTCCGCCGCCACCTCAGCTGCCCACTCATCGGAATTCTCTCTCGGCGACCGCCATCTCTTGCCTCACCTTCCCGCCGATGACTCTTCCATGAATTTTGGAGATCCCTTGTTGCTTCCCACTTCTAGTACTCGAGATCCGTTTCTTCATCCCCATTTCTCTTCCTTCAATTTTGATTCTCACGGCGGCGGTTGGGGTTTCACGGCGGCGGAACGGCCTTCTACTGTATTTCCAAGAATGTTGCAGATCTCTCCCACCTCCAAAGTTGGTGACGGTGTAATTACTACTCCTCCATGCGACTCACCGGCCGTGGCCGTAACGGGGAATTCTCCGACCTCAAACCCGCTTTGCTTAAGGGATAATTCCGACCTCCAGATCTCTCCTCCAAGAAATCCCGCCCTTAAAAGAAGGTATAAGAACAACCCTAGCGTTTATATCTAATCAATCATAGTTATTAAACAATAACGAATCTTCGATCATTAGTGTTCTAAATTTCGTTTTAGTTCGATTTTTGCTCTAATTTCATGTGGGTTCAAAACGAATTCAAATTTTAGATTAAGTTCGACAATTATTGATTAATTAAAGAGTTTAAACGTTCGAAAAAACACTAAATCCTAATCAAACCATGACTAAAATTTCATTCATGGAATGTTCATAGGAAGAATCAAGTGAAGAAGGTGGTGTGCATTCCGGCGCCGGCGCCGGCAAACAGCCGATCAAGCAGCGGCGAAGTTGTCCCCTCCGATCTATGGGCATGGAGGAAGTACGGACAAAAACCCATCAAAGGATCTCCATATCCAAGGTCAATTATACTTCAATTATTTTCCTTAAATTAAAATAAATAAATATATAAATACATATATCTATATATATATATATATATATATATATATAATTTTGTTTTCCAGAAATCAATGCCAAATGCTGCAAGTTTTTGTACCTCTTAATTTTCATCTGACAAGAGATTGACTTCCAATAATTTTATTCATCATTTACTCATCAAATTCTCAAGTGATTTGTAAAAATTTAATAATTTATATAATTATTTTAAGAAAATTATTGTTTTGTTCTTTAAATTTTAGATCTTTTTTATGAGCTGATAATTAGTATTATCATTTGAATTAAGAGAATTTATTAGTGAAAATATTGCCCTTCCTTTCTCTTTTCTTTAGGGGATATTACAGGTGTAGCAGCTCCAAAGGCTGCTCGGCCCGAAAGCAGGTCGAGCGTAGCCGAACCGACCCCAACATGCTCGTGATCACCTACACTTCGGAGCATAACCACCCATGGCCTACTCAACGTAATGCACTAGCAGGCTCAACTCGCTCCCACCCTTCTCGAACCTCCACTTCTACCACACGTATAACAAGCCCAAAACATGAGCACAACAATGAAAACCTAGCAACTGTGACGATAAAGGAGGAGGACATGAATGAAGACCAAACGACGGAGAAAGCAACCACAACAATAACAACAAACCAACATCAGGTCGAGGGAGATCATCAGGAGTTCTTGTACGACTTGATTTTCGACGAATTCGCTGATCAAATGAACGAGCATGATCGTCATCATGCAACGGACACGATGAACGATAACCTTCTCCGGTTTAGTAATCATGGGTTTAGTAAAGGAAATGATGAAGAGCGCAGTAAAGATCCATTTTTGGAGCTCTATGATTGGACAGAGAAGTCAAATGGGAGCTTGTTCAAATAAGCCAATGGAGGTTGATGAAGGGTAATTATGTGATATATATATATTATATACACATTCACCTAGCTAGCTCTTATTTACTTTGGTTTCTCATGGATGAGATAATTAATTAATTGTATTGAGTAAAACAGAAGTGAACTTTTGTTGTTTGTGAGAGAGAGATCATTTCTTGGATTATCATTTCATTAGGGTTTTGTCCATTACACTTTGATTAGTTCATGAATTATGTTAATTAATGCAAACTTTGTTAAAGATTTGAACGAGTCTGTCTCGATCATACTTAACGAGGCAATTAAAATATGTGAGTACTGAAGTGTTTCATCAATTGTATGCTCAGGCCTACCGCTAGCAGATATTGTCCTCTTTAGGTTTCCTCTCAACGCTTTAAAACACGTTTATTAGGGAAATCTTTCCACACTCTTATAAAGGGTGTTTCATTCTATTCCCCAACCGATGTGCGATATCACAATCCACCCCCCTTCAGGGTCCAACATCCTCGTTGGCACTCATTCCTTCCTCTAATCGATGTGGTACCCCCACCAAATCCATCCCCTTCAGGGCCTAGCATCCTTATTGTACTGGTACACCGCCTCGTGTCTACCTCCTTCGAGGAACAACCTTCTCGCTGGCACATCACTCGATGCCTAGCTCAGGTACCATTTGTAACGACCCAAACCCACCGCTAGCAGATATTGTCCTCTTTGGGCTTCCCCTCAAGGCTTTAAAACGCATCTACTAGGGAAATATTTCTACACCCTTTATAAAGGGTGTTTTGTTCTCCTCTCCAACCAACGTGGGATATTAGTATCTCTTGTAATGATAAATCTGATTGACGGGTCAGACACCCACATAGTCAAATGAGCCAAAATAGTTATAAAAAGGGGTTTGAGACGATTTAGAA